GTGGGAGTGGAGCAGAAGGGTGACACATGGCAGATGCGAGAGGTGTCAGAAACGTGTCCCCAGAATGCAGCTGCCACCCTGGGGAGGCAGCTGGGGCTCAGGGACCTGTCTCAGGTAGAGCAGCCCTCAGCCTTGTGTTGTAACCCCAGCCAAACCACCAGGCTTTACACTGAGATTTTGGTGCAACTACAGCAGAGTTAATGGACAAGCCATGGGTTAGTTCCATCTGCCTCCAGACCCCACAGTGCCCCTCTTGAGTTCAGCTGTTCCTGAGACCTTGCCTGCTGCAAGCTGGACCATGGTATGCCAAACTAACAAGAACCAAGCTGCATCCAACCTTTGTTTCACACTGTGAAAATAATCAGTCCTCATAGCTTACACATCCTCATCAGGCTGTACCTGACTCTGAATTGGGATAAAAAGATTTCAGATTCCCAGCAACATGGAGATTAATGGAGCCAGGCCAGCTAAAGGTTTAGCTTTCTGAAATCTGTCACTGATCCCAGGGGGAAGAGGAACTAACTATATTCAGTTATACCTAGCTACACATTTTGAGGCAGGCCACCTGCAAGGTAAATTTCTGAGACAGCATTTTAAAAGATATAGCACCCCTGTTAGAGTAACATGAGCTTTGGCTAAAAGCTTCAAAGTCTTCAAGCCAACAAACTTTGTGAGCTGAAAAATAACATTTACTTTCAGCAAGAGGCAAAAGAGACAAAGGTATCCTCTGAACACCTAAAAATAGTCCAGGAATTCCTGTAATCAGGAGTTTGAAACTAGGTTGTACCTTAGTTTCCCTCACTGAAAGAATCACAGTTGTTGCACCCTGGGGATAATGCAGGTACCATGACCTGAAAGCACCTTCTGGAGGCAAAGAGGAGTTAATTCATTGCTGCCATAGGTCCAGCACTCAGGACAAACCAGGATGGTTGTCTGCAGCCATCATTCCAATACTCTGCAAAGCAGGAGAGGGCAAAGTGATGTTTTTATGAAGGTCTGATGCAAAAGGGAAAGTTGGATATCCTGAAATGCCTGACTGTTACAGAGAAGCCTCTCAGGACCTTCAGCTTTGCTGGAGCAAAGGAATGAACCAGGAGACTTCAACTCCACAGATAATTCTAGACCCAAGAACCAACCCTGCCCAGAAAACTAGAAGAGGGCTCTGTCTGTCAAACGAGAATCCAGCTGGAGAGAAGTTACAGTGTGTAAAGATAAGGCAGAGAGGCTCCCTGTGTTCCACAGCTGTTGTATCACTCAGACTCTTGTTCATGTTTTCACTACTGCATTTCCTTTGATATTCAAAAGCTCGGCAAGCAGAGCACAAACAGTTCAGTAGTTCTCTGCAGAGACTGTGCCACCACAGGAACCCACTACCTTGACAGTATGGAGTTCCCATCCTGTCTGGAGGACAACTCCTCGTTCAGGGGCCCAAGTCCCTGGTACAGCAGCCTTTGGCATACAGGGTGTCAGGTGTCTGCCATATCCTCTGGACGAGAGAAGAGAGCAAACGGGTGGGCAACTTTCCACAAGTGCTTCCATTTTACAAGATCTGTGGGAGGAATTGCTTGTAACAATTGGCATCTCTTTGTATGATGCTTAACAGCCAGCAGCAGCAGACTCTCACCTAGACCAAGCCAAGAAACTTTAGCACTGCTATTTGTGGCAATTAGTAACGTTGCAGATAATTCATCTGCCCCATCATGGCTGCTATTACCCTGCACCTGCCTAGGAGTTGAAGTGGTATCTGTTCAGCACTGAATCCTACCCAGCTTCTCACCTTGGTTGGGCTTCTGCTGCAGTCACTCTGACTGAAAGATGAGTGGGAAGAAAAGTGAGCCTATTCCCTGCTCAGCACTTGAAGAAGGCTACTAATTACCAGTGGAGGAAGAACTATGGGGGCATCACCTTCAGGCACCACTCCACAGGGAAGATGTTTTCTTGAGACTATGTAGGGAGGAGCCTGCCACAGCTGGGGTGCTGGAGGGCAGCTTGGGCTGGAAAAGAAGAGAATGAAAAAAGTAGGAAAACAGCTGGTCTGCACAACCATGTGTGTGAAGCTCAGAGGGTAATGGTCAGCAGGCTCAGATGGGGTCTGGATAAGAGACAGCTCTTAAAAAAGGAAT